GTGCAGGATCGTCTGATCACAGTGAAGGCAATCCAGGCCTCCGATTGTGCCTTTGCCGCCATCCGTGGCGACGGAACTGTCGTGACATGGGGCAGCGAGCTCGGGGGTGGTGACAGCCAGGCTGTGCAGGATCAGCTTCAACATGTTCAGCAAATCCAGTCTACGGAGCTGGCATTTGCAGCAATTCGGTCCGACGGCTCGGTTGTCACCTGGGGTTATCCTCACTGTGGTGGCGACAGCAGTGCGGTGCAGCATCAGCTCCAAGAGGATGTGGTTTGCATCCAGAGTTCCAAAGAAGCCTTTGCGGCGATCAAGGCCGATGGATCTATCGTGACCTGGGGCAATGCCAACCTGTTGCTGTCAACGACTTCTTCGATGCCGAGGGCAATCTCCATCAGTGCAGCTTGGTGGGCCTTCGCAGCCATCCAATGGGATGGCTCCGTCTTCACCTGGGGACAGCCAAAGTATGGAGGTGACAGCAGCGCTGTGCAGGATCGGCTGCAGGAGGTTCGAGCGATTTCAGCATCGGAAAGAGCATTTGCGGCACTGCTCGCCGACGGCTCCGTAGTCACCTGGGGTGACGCTTATTTGGGTGGCGACAGCAGCGCAGTTGAAGAGCAGTTGCGGAACGTGAAGGAGATCTGTGCTGCCGGCGATGCTTTCGCGGCCATCTTGGAGAACGGAACGGTTGTCACTTGGGGTGATCCCATGGAGGGTGGCGACAGCAGTGCAGTGCAAGACCAGCTCACGAGTGTGATTGCTGTGCAGGGCAATTGTGCAGCTTTTGCAGCCATCAAGGAGGATGGCTCAGTCGTCACATGGGGCGAAGAAAGTGTCGGTGGTGACAGCAGAGCCGTGCGTGATCAGCTGCGCGGCGTAAGTTCGATAGCAGCTGGCCGAGTGTACTTCGCCGCCCTAAAGGGCGGCGAAGGCACTGTGGTGCAATGGCCAGAGATGTGAGCGGTTGAAGTTGAAAATGCACGAGTCAGTGTCGCAGTGCCTGCTTCGTACCCCAAAGCCAGAGCCCTAAACCCTTAAACCCTGAACCCCAATACCCTAAACCCCATTATAAAAAGTATAAAGTCAGATCAGGTGTAGAGCACCTACGAACAACAGGGCAAATCCATGCGGTTGCATAAGAAACCCGTAACCAAAAACCCTAAGCTCAGATTCTTAATTCCACTAACCCCCTAAACCCTAAGCCCAAACTCACCTTAAACCCTAAAAGCCAGACATCCAAGGCAGATGGGGCCGACCCTGTACCCGTACCATTCCGGTATGAAGTTGCGGCCTTGGAGACGGGCAAGACCACTGTTTTCGTACCGAATGCGATCGCCAGCACTGTTGATGCCATGACAATGAGGCCCCACCGCTGCAGATAATTCTGTAATTCATCGTAAGGCCCTAAGGCCCAAACCTTGAACCCGCAACCCTTAAAACCGTTCTCAGGTCCCAGACGTTGGGGGCCCTGCTTGTGGGCAACTGCCACAAGGTTTGGCGCGGGAAGAATGCTGCCCTGGTGTGGGAGGTGACTCGTTTCAAGTTTTGCTTGACTTGGCTTTGTTGTTTGTGCATCGGAAGTGCTTTTACATCCAGCATGCGGGCTGCCAGCTATCAGGTCGAGTTTACGGAGGAGCCCCCAAAGATCCAAGTGTGCAAGCCCAAAGTGTACACGCTGTGTAACTTCATGATTCCAAAGAAATCCTGGGTTCTCGTGCAGAAGGCCCCGTGGCGACTTGTCCAAACATTGACATGTCTGATGAATATTCATTCTGCAGTTCTTAGGTCGAGGTCTTTTGTCGGCATGCCAGCGTTGGTTGCACTAAGATCATGCTGGACAGATTCAATTCTCAGATTGGCATTGGGTTGGCGATTGCATCGCTGACGCACGACTTTGCAAAGTCTCAGCGTTGTCCGAACCCTACTAGGCGCTTAGGCTTGAAAGTTAAAGGTTTCGGTTCTTAGGATGGGCCCAAACAGTAGCCACCCGGTGTTGCTTGGACGGACACGACGCAGAGTCTTTCTCATGCTGCCCGGGACTCTTTACATTTTCCTTCTCGTCTCGGCACATTTTAAATCCGTTACCGTTATCTGCTTGCCTTGTCCTGACGAGGTCTGAGTTATGTAGCTATTAAAAGTCGAAGTGTAGGTTTGCAGCATAACATTATGTATCATCATGTGATGTGTTTATAGCCCGATATACGGTGTAGCCTGGTATACGGCAGCAGATGACTGGCTGTTTGTGAGTGTCTTGCTGGCAGTTCAGTGTCAGACAAAACAAAATCACATCACACGGTGACAGTGACAGCCTTGGGAGTTTGGGTAGGGAATGCGCCAGCATCTACTAGGCAACTGCTGCCATTGTTGTCAAGCGGAGCGGTAAGCTGCTGCACAGCGCAAGTTTCTTAAAGGTCGAAGTTGCAGGTGGATGGTATGCCAATCTCAAAGACTGTCGAGAATCTCTCCGAGGACGGATTGTTTTTTACAGTGTGAAGCCTGAGCCTCAACCACCGGCCCGTTCATGCAAACCTTAAAGCCCTGCCTGTAACGGTACCCCTAAACCCTACAAAAAGCCAAATTCAGGACAGTGAGGAGCACAAGGAGCCCGTGACAGAGACCAATAAAGCCTCGGCAGCCCCAAGAAAGTCAGCACTGAAGAAGAAAGCCACATGCAAAGCAACCAAGGAACAGGAAGAGGAGAAGGGAGAGGAGGGTGGGAGCCAAGTTGCAGAGGATGATGATGAGGGACAGGACGAGGAGAAGGCAGCTCCCTGCAGACCGAAAAGAAAGCGATCAAAAGGCAACCGCCAATGCAACCCAGTGCAAGAGGAGCCACAGGAAGAAAAGGAGGTCAAGGAGGAGGAGCCCAAGGCAAAAAAACCCAAAGGCCCGAAGAAAAAGCCAGCAAATTCAAAGAAGAAGCGCCAGGACTTAGAGGCAGCAGAGGAGTACGAGGAAGAAGGCTTGGTATTCGATGATGAAACGTGGCCTGAATGCGACGAGGATCCTGGCTTGATGAAGCGACCCGCAGCAAAAGTCCAGGCGAAGAGTGCGAGAGCGAAGGAGGATGCACAGGACGACCAGGAAGGTGCTGCAATGAAGCGCCCCGCAGCAAGAGCCAAGGCGAAAAGTGCGAGCACCAAGGCGAAGGCTGCCTGTAAGAGCAAGCCCAAAGGCCCGCTAGCATGCTGTTGCTCCGTGTTTTGAAACGTAGGACCTAGGAGCCCCGAATCAAGCTGCCGCCGTTGCTCAGGTGGTGACTCAGGTGGTGACAAGGACAAGATAACCTACAGCAACCCGTACCACTACTCAGCCAAGTTTGGCATCAAGGCCATCGGAGGACCATACAAGACCAAGAAAGAGATCCTTGTGGCGGGGGTTGTGTCCAAATGAACGCTGCCTGTTTTAAATTACATAATAAATAATAATAATTAATTGAATGACGAGTGGAAACCCAAGCCAGGCCTCGCAAGCCTTAAACGTTGAAATTTGGCAACCCCTGGAGGTGGGCGGTGCTATGTATCCAACTGACAAGTTGCAGGAGATCGCGGCAACTAGGCATCGTTAAAATTCAGGCGAATAACATCAAACAATTGCTATCGTCGTGTTGTCCTTCATCCTCCAGTCTATTGCGTGACCCCAGTCGTTACCGTCATGACTTCAGGAAATTGCTGTGGAACGATTGCGCAGTGGCTACAGCCTCGCGAATGTCAAGGAGATGGTTGCCGCCTGCCCGAGTTAAAATCACTAGGTCATGGGTTTGCCACACGTGTTCCATTGCAACACTTGACACTGTATGCAATGGATGCCTTACTGCTGCTATGCACCTTCCAAACACTGCCCAGTGCAAGTCGTTAAGGAGCAGATGAAGCATGAAGTCCTCAACGGCATTATCGCTTCTGAGAAGAAGGGTCAGGCTGACGAGAAGAACGATGAGACTCAGAATGATAACGACAAGCCTTTCATTGATGAAGCTGACGAGGCTGCGATTGAAACTTCAATGTAAAGACCATAACATCATGACCATAAGCCGCTTAAACCTTTAAGGCCAAAGGTCAGTTGTATAGAGGGTTTCAGATTTTGGACTCGCTGCGGGTTCCCACTTTTAAAGTAACATATCCTTAAGTTTAAGCATTCCATGACCCGCCATTACCGTTGCCGTTGATTCGACCCTAACCCTGCCGTTCACCTCCGAATCCTAAAGCCAAGCATGCCGAGCCCGCAGGAAAAAGAGGAGGAAGAGATGGAAAACGATCCATCGGTTGGATGACGTGCAGACTCTGTCTCAGAGTGCAGTGTGCGGAGGGAAAAAAAAGCTTTGCTGTGAAGAGCATACGCATCATTATAATTCAATTCTTGGTAATATTACTAGTTGTTTATTTCGTTTTATTCCGTTCTATTCTGACTGTGTATTGCTATTAATTATTATATTATTTGGGAACTTGTATAACACTGATTCCTGATTCTGATGACGATGATGATGCATGCTTAGGGCCTTCAGTACAATGAATGTTTGCAACCCCCCTGATCCTTGCACCCTAAGCTAAAGCCCTAAGCCCTAAACCGCCAGCTGTTTTGTGGCTCAATGGCCGTGGAGTCCGCTGCCACAACGGCCAATCGATAAGTTGAATAGCTTCGATTCTCAACGTGATGTGGGTCGACAAAGCTTTGCGTCGCACAGGGTGCTACCCCGTGTCCCAATTGAGGCTTCAAATCAGGAATTGGACGCCAACTTTAAGTTTGAGTTTACGCAACGTTTGGCAATCAAAAGAAAGCCCCAGACCAAAGGGAGAAGTGTCAAATTAAATTAGGAATTGGACACCAACTTTAAGTTTGAGTTTACGCAACGTTTGGCAATCAAGAGCCCCAGACCATAGGGAGAAGAAGACCAGGCACCCGGATGTTAACGGGCACCCGGATGCAGCGAAAGTTCTTTTTGTGTGCCCCTGATTGACCATCGGGTGCCCTGGGCATGTATACAGATCCGATCTGGTTGTCAGGCTGAGCCTTCGCGTTCGCCACTTGCGACTTGCGGGATTCCGGAACTTGCTTCGGGTGGGACCAAGGCAACTAGCTGCCTATGCAGTCACGTGCATGTTTGCAGGTCTTACTTGGCTGGAGATGAAGCATATCGACTTCATTTGCAGAGTGTTTACATCGTTCTGACGTTAAGTGGCAGGCCACGCAGCTGTTGGTGGCAGGACTTCGTGCCAAGGGTGCAGATGTTGACAGAGCTGAGATAGCAGCTGCTGTGTTTCTAGGCTGCCAGGCGGACGGATGACCTGTCTGCTTCAGTCTGTCAGCTTCTGCAGCGGAAGTTCTTCGCCCGAGCGACTTTAGAGACATTTGCTGCAGCTTTGTAGTCATGCCGCAGCTGAGGCTGTGCCTCATGCTCGGTGGCTTAGATGAGGCTTGAGCCGTGTATGAGCTGCCGGCCAAGAGTCGTGACAGCTTCAAGCTGCCCAGATCCAGTGATGCCTTTTCTTCTAAGTTCGTGCCGAGTAACTTTTGCAGGCCCACAACCTTGTCACGCCGCACTGCTGGGCTGCGCCGACTACCTATGGTGGCCCGTCTAAGCTGGGGAGCACAGTGCCATGGCAGCAGTGGTTCAACGCCTTCAGGCCGCTTTTTCTTTCTCGACAATCGAACCTCACACCCCTCAGGCTTCTACAGTACAGAAAGCATGGGCATAAAGCGATGCAGGACCATGAACACCAGGTGAGAGCCGTTGCAGGAATCATTCACGACAGCATCCCAAGTGTCCTTGCCCAGTCCAAGTACGGAGGGCCCCGGTGGCCAGGCGGCCTTGCCCGCTCCACGAGCCCGGGCGAAGAAGAGAGAAAGACAGAGCTAGAGTTAGAGGAGGCGCCATCGTTTCCCAATACTCTTCGCCCCACAACAAGTGCACTCGCACAAGAGGGGTGGCGATGGTTGCTCCTTCGCTGCATATGCGGCGCTGTGGGCCTCTGTGGCTTCAGATTCAGGGTGATTGTCCCTGCTCTATCCTGCTCTGTCAACATTGCAGGTGTTCCGCGAGGCCGCGTATGGCCATGTCATCGTGCACCGTATGGAAGGCAGCCAGCTTGATAAAGATGTAAGAGAACAATGGCCTGCAGTTGTACTACTAGCAGTCAGCATGAAAACCCGGATCGCTCGCCGCCAGAATGATCGTGACCGAGACTACCTACCACGAGACTAGTGGCTCGTACGTATTGAATTGGCAAAGAACGACAGGACCTGACAAGATGTTTCTCCAAGGGGCCTCTGAAAATACCTTTGCCCTTGCAGGTGAGAATCTTGGCGAATTTGGATCCGGGAATCTCAGTTGCATTGATTACACACAACACACTTTTCGACATTACGCTGTGACAGCGGTCTGCGTGTGGGAACCGCTGATTTCTTCCGCATGACCTACAGCGAGGTTCAACAACAGAAGCTTGGAATTGATTATGACAGATGCGGTGTGTGATCCAGGGGTCTGTTCAAGATGCGGGGATTTGTTGGTGCTAACACAGCACCTCACTCAGGAAATAGCAGGTCCGAATGGCCTCTTTCTTTTCCTACAATTGTAGCCCGATGTTGCCCAGACATGATGCCCAGAAATGATTTTGTTGGCTTGTGGCCGGGCTCGGTAGACTGAGTTTTGAGAAGCATGAACCTGTGATGCAAGCAGTCCTGGTGCTTTATACTTCGCCGTGTGCGTGTGTGTGTGCGAGTGTGTGTGTGTGTGTGTATCGTGCTGTCATTGCAGTTCTTTACCTAGACATTGGCAGCAATTCGAGGCAAGTATTGGCTGGGCCAGGCTTTCTCCTTAGGAGCGAGCCAGCACAGAATCTTCGCCGAACTTCGGAAAGATGCCGAAGGCTTTGTTGGCACATGTGCGGAACTTACGTGCCGAGGTGTTTCGTCGTTACATAGTAGATAAGCCTAAGCATCCATTTACGGGAGATCGACCGTGATCGAAAATCAGGCCATGATTCGCGCTGTCTGCTACGGACCATGGGTCCCAAGTGGGAGCCGTCGCTCTTCAACAAGCTCTGCGAAGATGTGCTGCTGTTCCTCGGCCTGGGACCTTTTAGCAATCAGGTCGTGTGGGTGGCAGCTGCTTGACATCCCGAGGACAGAGGATCCAGATACCCTGGAGTTTTGCAAGGCTGTTCAAACCAGGGAGCTTCAGCTTTTCTTCGAGCACATCATGGCGGCGCCGGATGACTCTGCCACAGCTTGAAGTGATGCTGCATCGGTGACATCCTGCGAGTCCAGTTTTTCATGCAGTAGTTCCCCTGTGTATTGTCGCGAAGCGAGAATGCATTTCAAAGGGGACAGACTGGCGATCTTGCAGAGCGCCATGCGAAGTGGCCTGCTGCGACAGAGATACCACAGCCTTGGCCGCTCTGGTTTTCATCGCATCCCGGTGAAGATCGTTTACGGCATCCACATAATGCACCCCTGCACAAACTGCACCGTTGTCCCTCACCGCAGGCGGCTTGTTGAAAACAGTCTGCCGAATCTGATTCCAAGTTTTGTCGGATTCAATGTGCCGCCTGTATGTGCTAAGTTCTGAGGAAAGGTTGCAACTGTGTGGTTTCTTAGTTCCGCTCCGTGCAAGCTTCCTTCCGGCTATGCTCAGCCAGTCTCAGCTTTTCGCATGATTCCGTCATGCCGTCGAGCTAGAGTTTCGGCCAGCGGTTCAAGCAGTGCGTGCCCGAACAGTTTCCAACAGTGGCAATGGAGAGGACCCGGGTTCACGCAGAGTCGCGTGGTACAGACTCTGTCCAGATTACCAAGTGCTTTGCCAGCAGGAGCATGCCAGAAGCGGTCAAGGATGGGCGACAATGTTGAAGTGTTGAAGTGCGAAATTGTAAGAACATGAACTCCGTAGAACCAAGTGCAGGAGGCGGTTCCATCAGATCAGTGGCTCGGTCTGTCTGTCGGAAGTTTTTTCATCGCAATCGGGTGCCTGCAAGCGACGGTCCGCCATATCGTGTGCTGTCGCAGGTTTAACCCGGTGCACGGCATCGAACTAAACTGCGATGTTGAAGTCGGTGAGACGACGAAAGTACAAGCTGCCGAGGACGATGCGCAACAGCTGGAATGATAAGCCTGTTGAACAGTGTCTCCGTTGCCTCATTCATTGTGACTTGCGAAACAGTTGTTGTCCTCAGCACGAGGCCGTCCCGAAGAGATGCGATTTGTGCTGCCGCACTCGCCGACGGAAAGGATTCTGCATGCTAGCTGGGGCGTGCAGCTGCTTCATGCTCGCTATCATGGTCTGTGCCGGTGTCTTGCTAGCACCGCGAGATATTGCGAGGTCCCAAAGCCTAGGAAGGCATGACATGAAGCCGAGGCTTGTTTTGGCCCCGTGATCCCAGCTGGGAGCTGACGAAGCTTGAGGCACCTTGACTTGACGACACTTAGCAGAGCAGGAGCTTGCTCTGCTCTCCCCTTTCCCCCTTTCGCGAAAGGTGACGACTCCAGATGCCCTGATGTACTTTGTCATGGCCTTTGCGGCCGGGCCCAGCGCTTTCGATGAAAACGCCACCTATCCCGATGTGAAGTTCTACGCTGAGGCAGAAGCTGCTCGACCCAAGAAAGCTTAAGGCTTAAGGGCTTCAAAGTCAATAAGAAAAGCGCACTGGCATTTACGAAGTTCGCCAGATCTCCCCGGCCTGGCCGTGCCCAGGTGTTTAATCCCAATCTCCTTGGCGGTGAAGCAGACACAGGCAGGACATTGCCAGGGCCCAGCATGTGCTTTCTTCGCGAGTTGTTTTCCAGGCGCAGTGAAGGTCCTGTACCACGGGCAAGAGCTGGGACTTGCTATCAGCCACCCGTCATCGGCAACTTGGCTGAAATTCTAGGTTCTGTGGCAGTTCTGTGACGGTCGACAGCTGCTCGGAAGGTGAAGCCCCAATCCAATGTCACAGTTGGGGCGGATGTCACGATCAAGCTGGATGCGGCAATGTTTCAGGAGCATTGTGTGGTCAAGCGCGCCCATGTGCTCAACCACATCTTCTCGGCATTCTGGATGGAACTTGGCTATCACGATGCACTGACGTTGCAGGCCTTGTCCACAGACGTCATCTCGCACGAGCTCAAGCTGACAATCCAGCTGGAGGGTGCAGCCGACGTGACCGGACCCTTAGGCAGGTTTGGGATACTGATGGTGAGCACAGATTTGCGACCAATTCTTCGACCAAGGGCTTATATAAGCTGAGCTTGTGACTAGGATTTGATGTGTTGCCGTGTTGGTGATCCTTTCCCAGGCATCCGCATCAAGTGCCGGCTTGAGTGTGATGTCTTCTGCTCAGTGGGCGAGCTTTTCAATCCCGAGTCGAGGTGTCGTGGCTTGAACTTGCAGAGTCTGGTGCAGTCGTTTTGCTTGTGCATGATGTGCCATTGGGACATGCGGCCACTCCAAGCTCAGAGGCAGCAAGTTTCTCTGTGCCCATCTATCAACGTAGAAGCCAGCCGTCCGAAAAAACTTCCAGGCATGCAGTTGTGGAAGGCCAGTCATGCAGGCAGCTTGGTACTCAAAGCTGTTCCAGCTAAATTTGATCTAATTTATTCAGGTTCCCGTCCAGGTGATGTTAAGAGAAGCTACCTAGTGACATTTGGGAGGGGCAGGGCGATCAGCTTGTCTGACTGAAAAACACTGGAGCCTGCTAAAAGCAGGTCCCCGATATGAAAAGATTAGTTTGCACACTGGTTTCAAAATATTCGTTTTCTTCAGCATGCATGCATAAGATTTCGGACATGCTGTATCACAGCATGTCGCACCAGTTTAGTTGCATCCAGAATGGATTCCGACTAAATCGTCCAGTCTGCTTGCGTGGGTGTGGTATATGACTTACACGGGTGTACGATGTGGGGCTCCAGGTCTTTCGGGTGGTTCATCTTCGCTGCTGTTGCCAGGCACGTTATGGAGCCCGTTTGCTTTTGGAAACATTTAGTCTCGACTGGATTCGTTGAGGGGATGCAAATGCAGGCCGCATTGTTGCATACATCAGTTCCGCATGTCTGCCAAGGTATCGTTACCTCTGAGACTTCGCGGGGTAGTCGGAGGCAGCTCAACAACAAAAGCTGTGTTGTATAGCGTGTTGCTTACACGCACTTGGCGCGGGCTTCACGCAATTCACTCCGTTCCACCTGTTACAAGGCAATAGGAGCGGAGTCGCTTCTAGAAATTTTTGGAACATCCTGTTGACGGGCAGGCAGGGCAGGCAGGACGAGCTTTATGCTGACACGGCTTGCGCCAAGTAGCAATTCCCATGGGGTGTTGATCGACATCTCTGGAGTTTCAGCAACGAAGGACAGGTTGGAATTCCTGGGAACTGCTGCTTGTTTAGGCCCTAGGCCTGCATGGGATTCTGCACGCTCTTCGCGGCCAAGCCGCGGAGGCGATGCTCAGCACCAGGTGCCCTCACAGGCTCCAGGATGAAGTCTCATCCGGCGAGCCTTTGTGAGGCTTGCAGAGCTTTGTTCATGTCCTCTCAAACCATCAGATTGGCAGGAAGCTTTCGGCAGAAAGCACTTGCTCTATGCTCTGCGCCTGCAGCTCGCTGTGCGACCTTCACCCGATCATGATGCATCAGAGTGTTGTGGGATTTTCCAGAGATGAGCGAACTCCGCACTCCCGAGCTTGGAGTTTGGTTTGATGCATCGGGACAGGGAATCTTGAAATTTGCCGATACAGTCTTGCGCATTCCGCTCTTCGCTTGAGGCTAGTGTTACCACCAGCCGCAGCAAGCTGGCCGAATGCGAACGTTTTGTGATGTCTTGTGCCTGGTTCCGTGACGGGCCATGGCACAGGGGGCCTGGAAAGCACAATGCTCATGGCCCTACAGCAGTGCCGTCGAAGGCGAGCTGGCGGGCTCCAATATACGTCGAAGATTGTCTGGACATCCTGGATTTGTGAAACTATTGGAGCATGCGCCACCGCTGCTGCTCTACCCGTCGGATTGTGACACTCGAGATCCGCAGCATAAAGTGCAAAGGCACTTTGAAGGGTCTTGAGTCCTGGAGGAAGAGTTCAGAACGGGACGACGTCATGGCATGGGTACTGCTAGAGTTTGTGTCTGGGCAGGAGCAAGCAGATTGAATTGAGTGCCAGCTAGACAGGGCCTCCCACAGTGTGGGGCCCCGCAAAGAAGATGCAGCCCACGGACGTGGACAAAAGATCAGCCCAGTGCCACATGTGTTTGTGTTGCAGACCCATGGCTTCGAAGTTGCACAGAGAGTTCTGACATGGCACAGAGAGTTCTGATGCGGTGCTCGTGGTTTGTGTGTAGACATTGCTACACAGTGGCTTGCTGGGATTCAGGCCCAGACCTGGAGAAGATGATCTGGAGGCTTCGACGTCCAAAGAGGGAAACCGTCTTGAATACAGAGAGGCAAAACGAGGGAATGCCACAGAGACACACAGATGCAGAGAATTACGGGTCAGAAAGTCTGAATTGACATCAGCCCTTTCAATGTGCTTGTTGGTCGTACAATCAGGAGCCCTTGCAAACGGACTCTTCTCAGGCAATCTCGTCTCACCATGTTCATTTCCCCCTTTGAGAACTTCTGTGTTCTGTGCTGGGATATGCGGGCCGTAAAATCTGGAAAGCCCAATGATGTTGGCATAGCGCTGCAGCTGAAGTAGCATGGCCAAGAGCTTGCCACCAGCAAAGCTCAATCTCTCAAACTTGGTTCAGGGACTGTTCAGAATCCAGCTTTCATTTGCAGTTGCGGTGTTCCTCCCAGTCCTGTGTTCTCGAGCAGGCGAGGGAAGTTGTGGCGAAGGCCTTGGCCGTATGCTGCTGTATCTGATACTGCGATAGCAGCTGGGTGCTGGGTAGCTGGCAGTATTTTTCGAATCATTTTTCACCGAAAGCGGAACATTCAGGGAACTTAAAGAAGAAACTGTGACACGACGGCATGCCAGCAGGAGCCCTTCCGGAGAGTTCTGCGGACATCCTTCTCCTGCACTCATCTGAGCAAGGAAGATGTGAATCGTCTGCCGTTTGACTACCTTGGCGCCAATGCCGAAAAATTGATCCCGGTTCGGACAGTCAGCTACCGATGCTGATGTAGCTTGTCGGGCCTCGACATCTTTGGGCTCCAGCGCCGACAAGACTTCGCGTAGAAAGCTGCGATCTCATGCATGGTTCGTGCTGCTGCAACGAAGGACAGCCGCTTGTAAACTGTGTTCAGTAATGACAGGCGAGCCATTCGACGCTCCGGCTTGTGATTGTAAGATTTCTCGCTCGCGCTGTCTTTGAAGAATAGGTTGATATGCATGTCACGTCGCATTGACAAAAAATGCTGAAGTACGGACCAAGTTGGATTCGGAGCTACTGCAAGTTTGGCTGCTCCTGATCCGGAGGATGCTTCGAGCAGGTGACTTGCACGAGAAGTCGACTGTGCGAATGCGGAGAAACCAGAGGTTTATTGCGTTTTCTCCGAGACCATTCCTTGTCCTAACTTGACCTTGCGACCGTTCAGGAAGTGGAAAGGTTGCTGGAGTTCTGCACCAACGAATCAGAATCAGATGATGCAGCTTCGCGCGAGGAGGAAACATTTCCTTTGTTCAGGAGTCTCGTTAGGCCAAAAAGTTGGGTTGGGGGCTCCAGTGAAACTTAGAGACCTAGTTTCTTGCGGTTACGCGCCTAACTCGTCAGCAGGAAGCAGTTACCTTCACTTCTTGTTTACTGACCCTGCGAGGATGGAGTTGTTGTGCACTACCTTCCGGGGCAGGAGGCATCAGCGCCAGTCGTGATGGTTGTGACTGGTTGTGGTTGTGGTTGCGATGTGGTTGTGGTTGTGGTTGTGGTTGTGGTTGTGGTGTGGTTGTAGTTGTGGTTGTGGTCTTGGCTATGGTTGTGCCTGTGGTTGTTGTCGTGGTTGTGGTTGTGGCTGTGGCTGTTGGTGTTGGTGTTGGTGTTGGTTTTGTGGTTGTTGGCACAATGCGCTACCAGCTACCAGCTCGGCGGCCGCGAACAGTAGCGGCTGTATCCGTCCAATCACCACAAGACAGCCTGTGGAGGGCCCAACAAGATGGGGTCCTAACCTAACACGACCTAACAGTTCCCGGGTCCTTCAACCACGCATGTGTTAGTTTAGCTCAGGCTGCGCATGGGAGCGGTTATTCATCCGCTGTGAGGCTTCGTACGGTCTCGCTTTCTTGCTGCACCCAGTGGTGAAGCAAGCGCACCACTTTGCAGGCGTTGCAGCTAGGAGCTGGCCCGGTCCCAAATCCGGGGAGAGACAACAAGTTGCTAAGCAAATTCGTGTAGCTACTAAGTGTGAGGGTTCCCGCAGTTCGGGGGAGTCTGAATAGTTTGCATTTCAGGCGAAAAACCGCGGATGGCAGAGGGCTGTTTCATGTTCTTGTTTGCATTGCTTGCAGAGCAGATCTTTGGTTTTTACTCAGCTTTTGCATGGATATGTTTTGAGCCTGTCTGCAGATGCTCTCTGCTGATGCAGTCCCACCATGCCAAGACTGGAAAAGGCACATGAGTCCCTGTTGCGCGAGCGACAAGCTTCAAAAAATGCCTTCAGCTCTGCACCCCTCGGAAGCTGAAGTCGGACGGCACTGGCCGATGCCCTGACTTAGTTCGGTATTGCTCACACAACACACGGAAACTTGATTGTTTCATATTGCCCGCTTGGGAAGGTCGCGGATGCGTGCCAAGATCAACGAATTGGAAGTCTGTTCGCTTCTACGTCTTTTGCAGAGTCAAGGAAAGCCAGCGTCTGCAATGGTCCCACCTTGCTAAGTCTCTCTGGGTCAAGCAGCGAACTTCGAAGTCCAGCCAACAATAACAACTGCAGCAACAACCCAAATACGTTTTCTGTCAAACTTGTGTCATAAGCGGTCTGTGCGGATTGACCCGTGAGCACTCGCTTCCGGCTCTGCGGCTCCTTTTTCTCCTGAGGCGGGCCCACTTGAGCTTTTTACACTTTTGCGTAGAGCGAAAACATGCGGTGCTGATTGAGGCAGAGACTTTCACGATTGAGTTGTGCAAGTGCTAGGTCGAGTTGGCACCGGAGCCTGTTCTTCCTGCGATGCCCCGAGTTCCAGAGATGTTCCAGATGGACGGCCAGGACGATGAGTCAGCAGATTCTCTCCCGAGCCTCGAGAACCACGAGACGGCGCCGCAGATGCTTGGACCAGGGACCGCTGCCGAAGCCGGGCCAGACAACCCCTGGAGGTGTTCGTCGTGCGATGGATGCTCTCTGGTGAGAGACCTGGCTGGTTTTTGGAGCTGCGGATTGCAAGTCTACATTGTGCTACCATGTGGGCCAGCGCACAAGGAGACAAGCGGGACGTTCCCGGGAGCCTGTTTTCTTGCGGGTCTTCTGCAGCTGCGACGACGACCACGAGCAATCCCGCCGGACGACGACGTTACCGAGGCTTCAGAGCAGCCTGAGTCAGAGAACCTGGCTTTTGATCCTACCGTGTCGGTCTCTTCGTACCCCGCGTGCCACGAGCCCCCGGAGGACATGATCAACGGCCTCAAGAAGACGATCATGAAGAAGAACATCCCGCACACCTGCTTGACTTCGAGGCTGCCAGGACTCAGGGCCGCAACACCAACAAGAGTAGCAAGGCCAGCTCTTCTACAAGCTGGAACAGCAGGATGGGTCCGGAGAAGAAGGTTCGCTGGCGGGGCGGCACGCCGCCTACCCCTCCGGCTTGGAAGTACGATCCGAGTGACCTTCGCGCGCACAGCAAATGGGCCCGGAAGGTTCAGATTTGGCAGGTGCAAAGATCGAACTACACGACACAGCGCGAGGCCCGAGGTGGCGCTTCTCCTTCACACCTCGCTGACTGGAGAGGCTGAGGCTGAGCTCGAGCACGTGCCCTTGGAAAAGATGAATTCGGGGGTGGACCTTATCCTGGAGTCCCTGAAAGAGCTTATGCCGCAGAAGACCGTCTACCAGAAAGCATCAACCGGGTACAGTATCCCATCGAAGGCCTCAGGACTTACGCCAACAGGTGCCGGAGAATAGAGCGCTCACTTGAGGCGCTGGGGGTCCAGATCACCGGGGTTTAT